CCTATTTACATGCTGAACAGAATTATCCGCTTACAAGCTGTACTAGAAATCATAACTAATCAGACTGCCACAGGTCTTGACCTCATAGCTACACAACACACCCAGATGCGAGTGGCCATCTATCAAAACCACTTGGCATTAGATTACCTACTGACTGAAGAAGGAGGATTATGTACAAAGTTCAACAGCTCAGATTCTTGCATCTAAATAGATGATAATGGACAAGCACTCAATGATATAGCCAACAGCATAAGAAAACTGGCACACATGCCCATTCAGACATGGAGAGGCATTAAAGTTTGGGACCCTAACACACTTTTAGGGGGTTGGTTTTCAACTCTTGGTGGATTTAAAAGCTTTATTGTTATAGTGGGTATTCTGCTGTTAACCTGTTTATTGCTTCCATGTTTGGCTCCACCGTGCATTAAAACTATTGGGTCCACTATAGAAGATGCTGTTCAAAGGAGGACAACAACTAAATTTCTGGCATTATATAAGGCTTTAAGCCAAGATGATGATAATGATCCTCTGTAATTTAAAGGATTAAATTATGGGGAGCATCATTAAAGGGGAAAATTGAAGTGGCACTCCCTCTCTCCACAGAAAAAGTCTTAACTGGGCTTCTCCAAGAATTCTCACCATGGCTGATTTTGGGACTGTCAGAAAAAGAGTCTCTGAGAAAAAGTTCAATATGGATAAATTTCCTATTTTCCTATTGCCCTATTTTGCTTGGCCAGTAGCCAGGAAGATACCAGCACTTCAGGTGCTGGGCACCCCATTAATAATTTCTCACAAATGTATCCAGTATAGTAGTTTGTAGAAATGTGCTAAGGAGGCTTCTGGCCTTGAGCTGGGCTTCACAGAGATGTCTACATTTTTTAAGAGAAGATACCAACTGGGCTCCATGGTAACAGCTGGCAGGGGAAGAAAGAAAGGGGAGAAGAAGCTCTCCCCTTCACAGGTGCTGTCCTTGAAGTATTAACTTGCCCAAAACAGCGAAGGAAAAAGCTGCTTTTGGGTGAACTTTTGTAGACTGTGAACTTCTGAGCCCCTCCCCTTACATGCTGGGTATAAAACTCTGAAATTACCGGTATTCGGGGTTCAGGGGATTGACTGATTACAGCAAAGGCTGTACCCTCTGAACCTGGCTGCAGCCAAATAAAACAGTTTCCTGCTACCTTCGGTGCCTTGCCTTGTTTGTCTCTACTACAGAACCAGTAGCTCCAAGTGGCAATGGGTATTTGTGGGATACAGCCCAAGAGGCAAAAGCCTCAGAACAAGAGGGATCAACAGTGCTACCCTAGTCCAAAACCCAGGGATTCAGGAAACTCCCAAGAGAATCATTGGCAGAGTCCACTTTGGACAAGTGAAGAAAAGTGAGTCTGAGATCCTCAGGTGATCATAGCAGCAATCAGGAACCCGTTCAAGATTTGAGCTTGCATCTGCTGCTGCTTCCTTGGTCTTCCAACTTTTATTCCATCCAAGGCACTGTCCTATTGGACAGTGGTTCCCATGCTTAGGAAGGGTCTCCACTTCAGTCCACTGTCCCACATTCCAATCATTTCTAGACACACACACTCACTGACACACCCAGAAGCCTCTTAATCATCAGCATCTCTTAACCCAATCAAGTGGACAATTCAAATGAACCACTGCAGTATCCCACAAATTCCCATTGCCCGCTTTACATAATCTAGTTACAACTGTAGGGCTTGGATGTACTCCAGTGTCCTATGAACAAGCAGACATCATAACGCAGGGGACTACACAGGCTCTTCAGGGTGCAGGGATCATTTCTGTGATATGAGGAGAGCTCTACAAATAGAGCTGGGGAGGAGAACTGAGAGGCTTGAGAGATTCACTCACTCTGAGCCTGCAGTGAGCAGCCCTGGGGCATCTCTGATGTCAGCAGAGACCTCTCCACAGTGACACCCACTCACATTGGGATGGAGGGCTTCCTATCTGGATGCAGTCTCTCATGTCTGAGCTGACATGAGTCTTCTCTCAGTCATTCTCCATGAGAGGCAGCAAGCCCCTTTCCATTGCTGTCATCATGGACTTTGCAGACTCCTTGCCCCACACCCCTTTCCTTCACTTCCACCTCTCCTACCTGAAGTCCTTCTTCTATTGCAGTCAGGGTTTCACTCAGGTTTTCTGTGGTGGTCCTTGCCTGCTTTTACCACCACTGTGGCTCAGGATCCTCCTCCTATGACAACGTGATTCTTAGGCTTCTGTGCAACTCTTTTTTTTTTTTTT